AATATATTAAAATATAAATAATTTTTCTAAATAGTTTTTTACTATTAAAATATATATAATTTTAAAAAATATATTTACATCATTTAAAAAATTATTTTTTTATTTAATTTTTTAATATAGTATTTTTCATTGGAGATGATATAACCATTACACCGAACATCTCTTGGTTCAAGTCAAATGCTAGAGATGGGATGGCACCCGTCTAATGTGACAGGGCTTTAAAATTTAGCGAAGCAGATCAAGGGCAAGTGGGCTTCGTCTGTATTTGGCCGAGGCTGTATTACCATATATTCCTTGTCTTTTCTGGGACGAAGGTCTAAGCATAGGAGGTTTTCCATGGTGACAATGGTCCTCTGTTACGGTGTGCATAGAATCCAAAGCGGAGCCCTTCCCGAACTTGTCACCTAGCCTAGTCGAATATCCAATTCCAAATCACTGTCGATAGCCTCCAATTTGAAGGTTTTGTTTTTGAGAATGGTCGGCATGGATGCATATAAACTGTGAGCGTGAATTTCCATTCTCAACAGATTGCTAGGAAAAGTATCGAGTGGAAGGAGAAGCCTAGATCGATCACCAGTGTGTGACCCCTGATTAATGATTATATGTCACTTCATTTTCATGCTGTCAATTCTCAACCCTTTTCTGTATCCAGTTCTATTTTCATGTCCGATGAAGCAACTCTAAATTGCCATGACTAAAATCACAGAATAACATGAATGTGAGTTTCCTACATCCATGAAGAAAAAATCTCCTGAAAAGTACATAGCAAGCATGCCATGAAGATCTGATCTTATAGAGAAAAACACTAGCTAGTTTATTTTAGTTGAATTTTAACTAAAATCACAGAATAACATGAATGTGAATTTCCTACATCCATGAAGCAAAAATCTCCTGAAGATCTGATCTTATAGAGAAAAACACTAGCTAGTTTATTTTAGTTGAATTTTAACTACTTATATCAAATATATATATATATATATATAAAAAATATATCATACTTTATTATCAAATAAACACAAAAAAAAGCGTTTAAAATTGCGATGGATATTGTTTTTTAAAAAAATTATTTTTGATATCATCATAATAAAATAATATATATATATATATATCAATAAAAAATATATTATACCCTATTACCAAATAAACACCAAAAAAAAGTGTAAAAAAGTGCGGTGAATGTTATTTTTCAAAATATTTTTTTAAAAAATTATTTTTGACATTATTATAACAAAAAAAATTAAAAAATACTATCAAATATAATTTGAATTTTTTTTTTTAAATTTTAACTAAACCAACTTCATTTAAAAAATTATTTTTGACATTATTATAACAAAAAAAATTAAAAAATACTATCAAATATAATTTGAAGATTTCTTTTTTTAATTTTAACTAAAACCAACTTCAATCTCAATTTTGTAGGCATCTTTGCAAAATTGCAAGGCAATTACGACGGGCTTGCGTGTTTGTATAGAGAAAGAATGAAATTGGGCTTCAACGTGTATGTTACCAATACCATGCACAGGGGAGTGGGGAGTTTTTATTCTATACATAGTGGTATCTTTGGACTGGATTAAGTTTATTCGTCCCAATCCGCGGGGCTGCGTTGATCACCTGGAACATAAAACAATGTTTATGTGAATGGAGATCAGGAAATTAAAGCGTTCATTAATTAATTATTACCTGCTACCACTTTCTTGATTTCTTGGAATTTATCCCGTGATTTGAAAGCTAATGAACGGTTGGCAAATATTAGTTAATCAATAACATAATTTGAATCAAATTTATCTTACATTAAGAGAGGAAAAACGAAACCCGGTATTTTATTTCCAAACATTTGCCATTACAATTCAATGTTCATCACAAATAATTCAAGAAAAAAAATTACAAACTAAAGAAAAATAAAGGAAACGACATATCCCTCGTATCTGGTAAGAAAGTACACCTCCGCATCTTTTTTTTTTTGGAATTCCAATGGTTATTAATTCTTGATACATGCAGAGAAGGCGTGGATTTTAGTAATGGGCTGATTAGATTCAAGGACACTTGCGTCTGCCTCCACGAGTAGTCAAGGTGGCATAGCAAGGGCAGGTATCCAGGTTGCCGGAAGTGCCTTGAGGGACACATTTGCATCGGGCACAGCATGACCCGCAAGCCCTCTTGCAAAGACGAGGCCTAGAGGACAACGAACACCTACCATGGCAAGCGCCACCACAGTCTGCGTAGATAACAAAATTAAGGCGCATTAATCAAGTAAATGAATAGTAAACAATATTTTAATTTAATCTTGATAAACTAAGCAATTAAATAGGTGAATAGGGTTCTTTTATTTACGTACCGATACTGTTTCCAGGAAGATAGCTTGCAGCTTGATTTGAGTTCACCTGCATCAGTCAAATGCAGTGTCGTTTTCTATCTTTTTAATACTGAAAGATTGAGCGCAGAAAAGAGAAAGAAAAGAACTCGACAACACTCAAATCTGAAAGGAGCACATACTCTTGAAGAATTAAGACTTTACCTTCTGATCAGCTTCGGCAAGATGGAGCACAAGAAGAGATAAGAGCAGGGAAGCAATCAAAAGCTTTGAAATAGCCATTGATAAAGCTTAATTAGACCCTTGCAGATTGGATGTTTAGTTATGTTTCGAACTCTGTTCACTTGAATGCGTGGAACAGGAGAAAGGGTGCCACTATTTATAGCCACTCTGCAAGGATAAAAACAGAGAGTGGGTGCAAGCAAGGACGGGACATCCTGCTGGCATGCATATACGAAACTGAAGTAGGCCTACCACTCTAATTATACTATTGTCACTTGGTAGGATTTGGGCAGAATATAATCCGGAGCAGGTTTTTTTTTATTTTTTATACTATTGTCACTTGGTAGGATTTGGGAAGAATATAATCCAGAGCAGGTTTTTTTTTTATATAATACATGATGTTTTTAGAAATATTTTTTAGCATATAAAAACAATTGAAAAATACAAAAAAAAATAATTTATTATTTTTTCAGATTAAATACATTTTTAAAACTCAATATAAAATTAGAAACAAATTTTCTCGAATTCAAAGGAAAAAGAAACGCAGCCCCATTCACTTACATTTATTTTTTATATATTAGAGAATTACGTTCTCAACATTTCACTTCCTGCTCTTCCATATAAACAATCAGCACTCTTTTTTTTATCGTAGAAAAAATGGCTTGTGAAAATCAAAGAGTGAAAAAATGGCCAAGGTGGACTCGTTTGGACTCTAAACTAGCCATTAAGCTTTGTTTTGTGACTTCGTAGATGATGCGAAGACAAAAGACTTTAAGCTGTAATGTTTCCATCTATCAATACAACTGCACCAATTATTGCAGTGCACTGAATCTTTTCAATAGTTTATCTGCAGACACAACAGCATAGATGATATTTTAAAACTCAATTATGTTAGGTTTGAAAGCAAGCTATTTCCGTATAATTTATGCTTGGCATTCTGTCAAATCTTAGATATGTTGGATTATTTCTCTATTTTTAACTATTTTGAACATGAGTTTTAAGAAAAAATAACATGTATATACATCAAAACTCTTTGTTGACTAACCTCAAAATCAAGAAAAGGACTTCGTTCCCACCATGATTAAAGAGAAATACTGTGTACATACCATAATAAGAACATCTATGCAAGAGCAAGCAGGACACTGCTCGCGGCTCATCTTGCTAAGATTTTCCTCTACCTATGTGCATAACTTCACACTACTGCTCTTCAATATCATCCTAGGCATCAACGTTATGAAATTATTTACTTATCCAAGATGATCCAAATGTCAAATTTGCTTGTTGTATCAAATTCCAAGTAACCATTCTGTACTCTATCAAATTCTATGCAAGTCCATCTCACCACACACAATGAAGCGGCTGAGACTTGCATGCACATCGAGTACTGAGTCTATCATGAAGCACATAGGTGCATAGACATGATAAAATTTGAAGTTCTACGACCTAATCTTGATTCCTTTGCGTCCATGCTCTGTTTTGGGGCATCATAGCTGGCCTCCAACTAATCGATTGATACCTTTTTTTTTATTGGAAGCAATTCGATATACCTATTTTTTTGTATAAAAAAAAAAGAAGAAAGTCAGAAACCTAAATCGGATCAAGAAACAATCTGGGACTAAGGCATCGTTTATTAATGAGAGGCAAACGGATGAAGCAGAGATAATTTTCCGAGAGAAGCAAAAACTAGAATAATTTCTTAGAGAGAGGAAGACTTCAATTTTTTGTTTCATATAGGGCCACGCATATAAAATATGTACACAACCCTCTCGGAACCCATTTGCCTCCTATCTCTGGCAACATGCGGTGGCACCTTATCAAGAACATCAAAATGATTGCATCTAAAAACAAACAGGATCTAAGTTACGGTTGATCAAAAGTTGAAGGTAGTTTTTCACTAGTTAAACTATCTTCATTTCATGTTTCAACAGAGACACACATCCATAGAATTTCGGACTGCTTAATTTTTTTTTTTTAAAAGGAGAGATTACATACCGAAGACAAAGTACATTTAATGAAACTATATAATTATTGCAATTAAACAACCAGATTTTCAGCTTTTCATACTTCCTGCTGTATTTCTTTCCACTCTTTTTATTTACCAAAATCTAACATAAGTATGATTAAAATCATGAGATGCTCGGAAATTAGATGTGCTTCAAGGACACTTGCGTCTGCCGCCATGGGTAGTCAAGCTGGCGTAGCAGGGGCAAGCCTCATAGTTACCGGCTGTTCCTGGAGGAACACAGCTGCATCTTGAACAACAAGTCCCACATGCTCTATTGCACAGGCGTGGCCTCGATGATAACTGGCACCTTGCCTTGCAAGCGCTTCCACAATCTGAAAAACGAAACCAAATTAACATGCATGCATGATTAGGCACGAAGTCTTCTCCTTTCTCTCTCTCTTCATGTTATATCTATATATATGTGTGTGTGTGTGTGTAATCTTTAAATTATATCGTTTTAGATTTACTTGGATTAACCAAACTCAACCTATAATCCAAGTTGAGTGGTGAGTGAGGTAATGGGACAAATCAGGTATACTAACTTTAAAAATAAAAATTCAAAATTTTACCTGTTGGGACACTGTTGATATATTTTATTTATTGATCATATTTAATCATTTAATTTGATTAATTGGTTAAATTATGGGAAATAAAATTACCAATTTTTTTCGGGGGAGAACTCGCAGCAAGATTCGAGTTCACCTGCATCAAATATGAAACAACATGTTATTTAGATGAAACGATATTACAAGACTTTACATACGTGAGCAATGGGAAAAGAAAAGGACCTCATGAACATGAAAAAAAAGAAGAAAAAAGACAATTAAACACTACCGGATCATGACCAGCCTCGGCAAAATGGAGAGCAAGAAGAGAGAGGAGAAGTGAGGCAATCAGAAACTTGGTGGCCATAGCCATTGCCAAAGACTAATTAATTCAACAGAGCTCAATCTCTTTGTCTCAAATTGAAACCTTAAAACTTTGCGTGCAAATTAAACAGAAAGGGTCTCGGTATTTATAGAGACGTTTTGATGGCAATGACAAAAGAGGCCAAGGCGGGCAGGGATGATTGAATTACTCGAATTTTTTAAAGTAATTCGGTTGATTTTTTTAATAAAAAATGGAAAATTAGGGTAACTTTTCTAAATAAATTTCAAAAAACTGGGCAAGGGAAAATTTTGGGTACCCGGAATTACCACAAAATTCTTTATCTAGTTTTTTTTTCAATTATATATATATATATGAGTAAATTTCTTGAAGCATATTAAAAGGTCGTTGCGTAAAAAAGATTCAAATTATTTCAGTAAATTTGATTTTTAATTTTTTTTTCAAAATTCTTAGTATGGTTCATTGAGGACCATACTATTATTATTATAATACTAGGAGGAAGAGGGGAAAAAAATGAGAAGTGGTGTATGAGTACCATTGAGCTGTCAGGAAAGTATGGTCGAGAAGAGCCTTTGGAATCATCTAGAGTGAACGAGGGAAGGGTCCATAGAAATTTTGTAATTCCTTAGTGGATGCTCATGCTCTTTCTGTCAATAACCTCCCTCTACTAGTGTATAGTACTCTTCCCTTCTGCAATTATTATACGCGGAGATGTGACAGATCTTTCACCATCTAAAAAGCAATCAGAGCTTGGATGAAGATCGATGATGCGCAAAACGACTAAAACTATGGGCACTGGAAGGGAGGAGATAGCGTATTCAATTTGATTCTAGATGTCATACGTGACATGATTACTTGTTCCATGGAGAAAAATAGAAGCTACCATAATATATCATCGTGGCTTGTAAATTTCTGTTCTAAACAGTCCCCAGGACTCCTGGCTAAGGGGTGTTTGGAAGTGATGACCAGATTGAGGGGACATAGTTTTGGAACTAGGCACATAAAATGTGTGAATTATCACAATAAATCATAAAACAAATTGATAGAATAGCAAAATTTAAAAAATATTTGGCAAAAAAGCACAGTTTTATCTTATCATGTTTTCAATTGGGATATTCATGGATGTTTCAGTATTAAAATGTGTGAAATATCACGAAATTAATTGGTAAAGTTGTCCCGGTACAAAATGGACCAGCCGAGCTAATTTTCTCTTCTCTGAGGAGATCATGGATAGGCTTTAGTTCAACTCGCGCGATGCTTTTCTGGTGTATGATAAATGGGGAAACTACTGAGTTGATGAACGATAGCAAAGTTCCTGACAAGCTACGAGGCCAATCCTGGTCAAGCTCACTCGTTTTATGATCTAATAGGAAGTCTATTTATGAATTGGAAACGATGCTAGCACGGGCCGCTATCACCTATGTGCTTGAAAGCTTCACAAGAACCTCCACAGAGTGGCTCTGCCAGCTGTAGGAGATCACCCCACAGCTGTACTATGTGCGTGCACCTAATTCCAGAGCACAGGCACTGCAGTTAAACGTGTTTTTATTTTTATATATAATTTTATATGTTGAAATTAAAAATAATATAAATAAAAGTATTTCTATTTCTATATTTTTATAAAGGGACAAGGAGTGGATTTATCTTGAATCGATTCAATTTGATTCTAAATAGACTTAGTTTAATTTAAATCAATTTTTATAGGCATGTTAAAAAATAGTTCATATTTTAAACCAAACCATTAAAAAAATCTAATTTACTAGTTGAACCGATTAACCTAGTCTTATTCTAATTAATATGGATGAAAGTGCTTGATAATTTTTCTTATGAGAGTGATTATTTTTATATATAATTTTATATGTTGATATTAAAAATAATATAAATAAAAGTATTTTTATTTCTATATTTTTATAAAGAGACAAGGAGTGGATTTATTTTGAATACGATTCAATTTGATTCTTAATAGATTTAGTTTAATTAAAATCAATTTTTATAGACATGTTAAAACATAGTTCATATTTTAAACCAAACCATTAAAAAAATCTAATTTACTAGTTGAACCGATTAACCTAGTCTTATTCTAATTAATATGGATGAAAGTGCTTGATAATTTTTCTTATGAGAGTGAATTTGGCATGGGGATTAAAACACATTTGTGTTTTAAAATTATTTTTAAATAAATATGAATTTTTTTATTTTTTTACTTTAAATTAAATTTTATTGATTTTTTTAATATGTTAATATTAAAAATAATTTTTTAATATATTTTTAAATAAAAAATATTTAAAAAAATAATTATTATTACTAGTCTAAAATATTTTTGGATAATGTTTATTAATCATGAAAGACTCAACTTGTTAGGTAGCTCATTGATTGATTTAAAGGTGGGATGAAGGCTTGTGAGATCATGGTTCAAAGGCCTCCCACAAAAGTTAAAAAATCACCTCCTCGCACATCATCATCGACTGCCGATCGGACTCACAAGCACATTTTAACTAACACTTATGTCAAATCGATTGCGCTATCGTCCAAGGTTTATCCAAACCATACCTAGAAGGTATATAAACCCAAATTCCACGCAATAAAAAAAAAAAAAAAGCACCAGGGGCTAAAACCCTATCGTAATGTATCAATTGTTAATTTGATTCAAATTTCACCTGCATAAAGAAAGTAGAGTAAAACGAAATCCATAAAAACAAAAAATTCAGAAAATATATAATACAAACAATAAAAAAAATAAAGGAAAACTGAAGAAAACGACATCCCTCATAGCTATAGTACTCAAACTCCAAGGATTACTATTGATATATGTAGAGAATCACTATGTGCTTTTTACAAGGAGGTAAAGGCTGATTTCAAGGACACTTGCGTCTGCCACCATGAGTAGTCATGGTGGCATAGCAAGGGCAAGTATCTAGGTTGCCGGAAGTGCCTTTAGGGACACATTTGCATCGTGCACAGCATGTCCCGCAAGCCCTATTGCAAAGATGTGGCCTAGAGGATAAGGAACACCTGTATTTGCAAGCCCCGCCACAATCTGCACACAAAGCCAAATGAATTCCCATGAATTAAGTATTTAATTAAGAGGTGCTAGCAAATGTTTAAACAATAATTTAACTTGATACTGAGGAATTAAGATGTAAAATAACCATAGTGAATTCCATTACATGAACTTAGGAGTAGTTTTTTATGTATTAATTCGTTAATTAACATAAGCCACTTGACCAGCTGATGATGTTGTGGGCAGGTTCAAGAGTTTACGTACCGATGTTTTTCCCAGCAATAGAGCTTACACCTATACTTGCGTTCACCTGCATCATTCAAATGCCATGTTTTTTATGTATATTTTTAGTAATCGAAGGTTGAGCCTCAAAGAAAATAGAGAGGAAGAAATGAACTTGACAACCCTCAAATCCAAATTATAGGACATATATACGCTGTAAGACTCATGAATACTTTACCTCCTGGAGAACAAGAAGAGATACGACAAGCGAAGCGATCAAAAGCTTCGAAATAGCCATTGCTAAAGTATAGTCACCACTGGAGACTAGAGCTTTCAGTTTTGTTTCGAACTCCTTGTTTGACCGCATGAAATAGGAGAAAGGGCCGTGGCAGTATCTATAGCTAGAATTTGAGAATAAAAAACAGAGAGTAGGTGCATGCAAAGACAGGACATCCTGCTGGCATGCATACACGATACCGAGGGTTGGTTTACCGCGCTGATTATACAATGGTCCCTTGTAACTTGTTAGAAATCGATCGGGATGGATAATATTAGACTTACTGGAGCAGTTGTTTTGTAGTTTTTGTTTTTTGTTTTTTTTTTTAACGAAAGGTCCAAGGCCTCTCTATTTAATATATATTACCTATCATTTTAGAAAATAAAAAATAAGAATGGTTGCGATAGAAACATATTTAGTACAATAACTAATTAAAAGATAGTTTTAATGCGAGTTTATATACTTTCAAAACAATAAATATATATTTTTATTATCTCTGCATTTTTTTATTTTGAGATAGGCATTAGACGTTATCTAATAGGTTAGCTAGATGTGGATATATATACAACGAAATCTAATAATAATTCAATTAATTAATTAATTATAAAAATTACTTTATGTTCATGGCTTGCAAATGGTAAGGTGAGTATTTTTGGAATTTTCCAAATGCATAGTGGAAAGTTCTTCATTCTAAAGTTTAGATAGCATCCGATGGGTTTAGCACATGTTTTTGCCATATATATATATATATATATATAGTAGAAAGTTCTTCATTCTAAAGTTTAGATAACATCCTATTTTCCTATGGGTTTAGCACATGTTTTTGTGTGTGCGTCAGTGCGTGCGTGTGTATGTATCTTAACGAAGAAGAAGTACGCGTTCACTATTTTCTTCAAATTTTTTAATAGTCTGTAGCAGTTTGTTTTTACAGCCCAGTAGCGTTTCTTAAAAATTTTGAATATATTTTTAAAAATTATTTTTTTGTTTTTTAAAATATTTTGATGTATAATTGTTAAAAATAATTTTTAAAATAATAATATTTTAATATATTTTTAAATAATAAAATATTTTTAAAAACAATTATTATCATAATATTAAAAAACTAGCAGAAAGGAAATGGTTTGCAAAAAGTGATCGAACCCCGATTAATAGCACAGGAAGGACAGGCTGGACTCGACTGTTAATTAACCTTGTTGTGTGACTGGAATTTGACGCCAAGTCAACCAATTAACGTTGACAAAGGACTTGCAAGGGCACAAGTATTGCAGTGCACTGAATCATTTACATGCCTATATATGCAGACACGTCAGCATTCAAACTCTTTGCTCAATAAACTCTCCACGATCGAGTTTTGTTTGAGTTGTTTTTTTAAATTATTTTTAAAAAAAATATATTAAAAAAATATATTAAAAAGTTGTTTTTTTAAATTATTTTTAAAAAATATATATTAAAAAAATATATTAAAAAATTTAATTTAATTTTAATTTAAATATATTAAAAATATGAAAATAAAAGTAAATTTAAATTAATTTTTAAAAAAACTTTTGGTTAAACTCTATTGTAGTTATCATCCTAAAGGTTTAGCGTTGGGTTTGGGCTGTTAGGTAATTGTATTTGATTTTATTTTTAATATTAAAATAATTAATTTAATATATTTAAAGTTAGAAAAATTTAAAAAAATTAAAGTAAAAACTACAGTGTTACTGAATAGGTCTTAATTAGTCAAGTGACCCGAAATTTTTATTGAAAGTACAGAATTGGTTTAACAATTGGCTTTTAAAAACGTTTTTACCAAAAAGAGCTAAAGTGCTTTTAGACTTTTAGTAATAGAGGTAAAGATACTTTATTTCTTGCATGAAAAAAGAGTAATTATATTTTACAAGAAATATAGCAGCTGTGATGGGTTTTTTTCATTTGATTTTATTGGATTGATTTACATGTTAATTAAGATTAAATTACATTCCTCGGTATTAGCAAATTCTTCAAGAATTTTTAATTCAAGAAAAGAGAAAAAAAAATGAATCTTTTTTTCTTTTTCTTGATAATCTATATAATACACACACAGCTGGACCACGACGTCCACAAAAAGCGGGCCAAGTAAAAGCTTTGATGGGTTAATAAACACTGAGCCATGTCTAGAATAGCCAGAGGTAAAGAAAAGTTTTTTTAACACAAGTGGATCTCATGTAATTATTTTTTATTCAGTTTGATTTTCATAAAAAATAATAATAATTAAATTAAATTTTGTTTTTTAAAAAATATTAAAACGAGTTTAAACTGATTATTTTTTTATTTTAATTATTTTTTAATTTTTTAGATTCAGTTCAGTTCAATTTTTTTATTTTAAATTTGTAAAACTAAAACCAAACTGCACTAATCATTTTTTTTAAAAAAATTCTGATTAATTTTTTGTTATGAATTATTTTTATTCAGTTTTCTCAATTTAATTAATTTTTTTCCCACCCCTAGACCTCACAATGCCTACTTTAATTTGTGTTTGGTTGGTAATATAGTTTTTTTTATTTAAAAATATATTAAAATATTTTTTA